GTGTGTGTGTGTGTGTGTGTGTGTGTGTGTGTGTGTGTGTAAGTGGCTCCTGAGCTGCAGGGGCCCAGTCCTTCCCTTCAGCAGTGGCACCTTCTGGGAGGGTGGCTAGCACGCCAGGGGCTGCACCTGCTCGGAGGCACTACCCAGCTCAATCCAACTCCTTCCCTAAGCCCGCCCTCGAGCATGTGTGGATATTTTATTTATATATATGTATACGCACACATTATTATGTAGGTGCCCATGAGTTTGTCTGCTTAGAGCCCACTAAGAGGTTAATCCGCCCCTGCTTGTATATGGGCCTGTTTCAATTTTTCTTCATTCTGGGCATGAGTAAGAAGAGCAGTTCTGTCCACATGTTAATCACTCTTGGAGTACAGTGTTAATGTATATTCTGTGTACAGGCAACCCCTGCTTAGCGCTCTTAATTGTTTCCTAAAAAAACGAGTGTTAAGTGAAATTTAAAGTATTTGATGACCCAAGATGGTGACCAAAATTATTTTTAATGACCCAAGATGGCAACCACGAGCATTATAACAAAACTCACTGAGCGCTAAGTGAAATCAAGTATCAATTTAAAATGAGTGTTATAGCGAAACAGCACTAAGCAAAACAGTGTTAAGTGGGGGTTGCCTGTAAACACATTCTTAAAGATGAAATTAAGCCTATACTGCCTTTCCTTTGACTCTATATTTTTAAATGAAAATCTGAATTTCCTTCATTGGCCAACAGTATTTCCTTATGATTTAACTCTGAAAACCTTTTGCATTCTGTTTTGATTTTAATTATAACTTCAAGTAAGTTCACAGTTTTCTTCTGCACATAACGTGCTACACAAGTGGAGCTACACTGACACATTAGGGAAAACTCTTATATTGACCCAGTAAGCCATCAGAATCTCTGAGAGTGGGTAGGTTCTGCTAATATGGAAAAGTTCTCATGAAACCACAGCAGTAGGCAACCGCTGATCCTCTAGATCATGGTGTACATTTAAGAGGTCTAGTCAGGTGCCTGATGAATCTGTTTGTATGGAGTCCTGTATCCATCACACCAAGACCTTCAGCATGTATGCCTACACAAGAGTATAGAGGAGTAGAGGCTGTCCAAGACTTATCATCCCCCCTGTTAGACCACTGAGACAGACTCCAAAGGCCAGACATGGTCCAGATGTTCAATGTCGTGATGGCTGTAGTGTCTGCCAGAGAGCAACAGATAAGAACTGCTGCTAACTGCTCAGCGAGGTGTTTTTCTGTCAGGGTGATGTCCCTGAGCCTTTCTCCAACCAAGGAGTACCCACAAGGCCATAGGAGCTAGGGTTTTGAGTTGCCCTGTATTTGCTTTACTCTGCAGCTTGCAACGTTTGTGTTATTTTATAGGCGGTACCCCGCCATGACCAGTCCTACCACATTGTCCTTCTAGTCAGATGCACACCCAGGACCATAAACACAGGACCATATGGAACCATAAGCATTATGCATATTGTAATATGTACAAGACCAAATAAAGGTCATTTTGCATTCAAAAACTGATCTTCATTAAAAACAAAGGCTAAATAGAAGGTTACCCTGAACATGAAAATTTTCATTTTGACTTGAGTCAAATATTTTGTGTAAGCATGAAATTAAAATTTTTAGGGTTCATTATATTTGGCAAAATCCAGGGAAACATCTAGCAGCCTTTTCTTGCAGACCCTTCCTTGCGTAGAGATGCTGTTTATCAACCACGTTGGATGGCGTTCCACTCCTCATCACTCCTGTTGCATTTAGTGGACATCCTGCTTGTGGTGGCACTGCAGAGTATCATATTATCTCAGTTTTTTTCAGGATAAGGGGCAACACATTTAGTGATTCATAGATAACACCTGTGGACTCCTCATAGCTTCAGTTAGTTTGCTCTCCAATATAATTCAAGTCAGACTTTTGGACTTTAAGCATCTTAATGGTTTCCAACAGCATCTGGCTGAAGCTTCTGAGAATGTTTAGGGGAAAAAAAGTATCAATTTAAATCCCTTTCCAGTGTTGACCACTGGGGAAGAAGTAGATTTTCAGTCCCCTAAGAGGGCTTTAATGACACTGATAATAATATGCAAACATGTCTGAACTGCAATTTAAATACAAAATATTTTCTAAATGCTAGAATCTAGAAGTGTATTTATCTGAAACCAAATGCCCTGGTACCATCTTGTATAGATTAGCGCTACATCAGAATATTTGTAGGGTAGATATTTTTACAGCCTCCTTTATAACCCACTTTTCCAACATAGGAATGTATTGAATAGTATACCCAACTTCAAGCATGTGAATCAATGCATTGACAACTGAAGTTCTTGAGGTTGGGTATAGGCTTAAGTGCTTTTGTAAACCAGTATTTATTTATATTTACCATACACTTATAGTGCTTGATTCTTTAAAGTTTTTTTTTTTCTTTTAAAATGCCATAGATTTTTAAATACAGACCTGGGCTTTCCCACAGAAGTTTTATAATTGTACCGTCATCTTCTGTGTCCTACGGCAGAAAAATAAGCCCAAATATATTTGGAACAGTCTTTTTATTGAAACTTTAGATTATAAATTAATTTCAGGAAAAAATAGGTTTGAAGGTGACTTTAATGTGGGTTAACTTTACTTTTCAGTCCTCCTTTTTCTCAAAACTGCCAAGATGTATAGAAAATAAATTGTAGTTGATTTCAACTAGATATGTAGGTGGAATAGTGAAAGCTAATAGTATATTATTTCTATATTCCTCCATATTGTAATTTATTTTCTATGATACCATATGAATGTTATCCCTGCTTTCTAAGCAGCTGGGTCAGTTGTTTCCATGTGCATTCTTTTAGCTTTGAAGAGTTCCATAGAAATGGTGGATGCTTGCAAAGTAATACTAAGTGTTATTTTCTGCTAATCAGATAAAGCTGTCCTTATTAAACATAAATGTGGTATCAGTAATTACTGTGTTAAAACTAGTACTGCCCAGAATATTCTGTTAATTAAACTTGTTGCATCTGAATGGCTTCCTTTGGATCACTGTGTAGAACAAAACTGTTTTGAACAATAAATGAAACCACTTTTTTCTAAGACCTGGAACTGCAGATGGTCAGAATATATGTGAAGCACCTAGACTCTGAATTAGTCTTTTGTATGAAAGAGAAAGGTAATTTGAATGTTTGAACTCCCCCTTCCTCCCACACATACACAGGAAACTTGTCTTAAAATGAACAATTCTCTAAATAAAGACTAATTAGGAGCTAAATTAATTAGAAGGTGTGATTTGAAAAGACATTGATGAGAAGAGTCTGTCATTTTAGACAAATGGAACAGAGCTAAATAAATTAGGCTCCATTAATATCTCATTGTTCTGAAAGCAGCTTTCTTTTATTGCATTCATTAGAGGGTACTACTTGAAATGAGCCTTTGCTGGTCATTATGGATTCAGCACTCATTTACCAATGCCTAACGCACAGCTCCTGCATTAAAAAATATTCCAACAAATCCTCAGAGTTCTTTCAAATTAATATTTATATTTTCTGGGTGCTCTGCTTTTCATCTGCAACATACTCTGCAGTGAACATTAATTTTTTTTCACACTGAGTTGCAAGAAAAGAAGCTTTATATCAAACAGTGTGGAAGCCATAAGTCTGAAATTACTTAATAAATAAATAAAGCAGACTCGTAAGTTCTCTAATATACAATAGATCTTCTCTTCCCTCCTTCCTCAGGTTAATGGTCTTCTAGCACTATTTATTTGGATAGAAAATGCAGTGCCACTTGATTACTTCAAAATTCCTGTAGTCCTTTGATGACTTTTTAAAGCTGTGTTCTAAAGGGTTCCTGCATTGTATAATTAGGACCATTTGAAAATTCATAGGTTGTCATGTGTTTCTCCCTTTCAGAAATTAAATATATCTTTTTTTCTTATCCCCTTCTCCTGTAGATGGAGTGTTTGGGAGATGTCAACGGGTGCCGGTGATAGACGTATATAAATATGAAGTTTCACCCCCCATTCTTCAGCGTCTACGGATCATCTTAGAGAAGCTCTCACAACGAGGTACAGTAAAAAGGGGGGTGAGAAGCGTGCACCTTTGACTAAGATCTCATGTACCTGTTGAGGATGGGCTGAATATTTAGTTTATTGTGATTTGAAGCATTTTGACAAAAATAACATTTCAAAACTGTATTGTGAGTTGTGACTTTTTTGGCATGCTTTTCACTTAATTCAGTACCTGGACATTAGTACATGATTGCATCTTAGCATTTCTTTCCTCAGAAAGAAGTTGGAGAGTTACATCACCAATATCCATTTGTTCCTCCCAAAGTGACTACTGATAATGAGTTAGGAGGAGATTTCTCCCATTGTTTCTGCCTTTTCTTCAGGTTCATCCCTTCAGGACTTGTAATTTGGCATGTTTGCAATTTCATGTCAGCACCCCTTATTGTCCTTGTATGTGTGTAAGCGTCCCTGCCGGTGTAAATCAACAGGATGGAAGCATAATTTTGGGAAGCGTATATACCGTGTTTTCCCCTTCGCATGTAATGCACATCTTTTTTTCCAAAAACCAAAAATTGGGGTGCATATTATGAGATAAATGGTATGGGCAAAAGTGAAAGGAAAGTATGGGTTGATCCACAGGGAGAACAGTGAGCTGGCTTAGCTTCCTCACTGTTTTTACTAGTTGCTTACTACAAGGAAAAAAAAATTTTTCTTCAGTCTGCCTTTCAAAACCAAGGTGCCTATCTTATTCTGTGGTGCATTGTATGTGAGAAAATGTAGCACAGCAGTGCACTGCAACACATTGAAGGATGGAAGTATGAGACCCACAGTTTACTAGGATTTTGGTTTTTTACCAGCTAGGAGAAATTCGTAATTTCCTAATAAATTCCTCCTCCACCTTTTTTAGCTGAACTGTTCCAGCTCCGTTTAGCAGCTAAATCTAGCATGTCTTTTGCAGTTATTAGTGAACCTTCACTGACTTAATCCCTATGCAGACAGTGGTAGTTGGCTCTTAGCCTGAAGTCAAGCAGATGCAACTTATGAGATGCATCTTATGGGCACATCCTCATGAGCAGGAACATGCATTTTCCTGGGGACAAACAGCAGTGGCACAATGTGTGTCACTGGTACTTGTATTTGGGGAATGCCCTGGCCACATGCGCTCTGGCACATAGTATGTTGCCCTGGGTGGGATAGGGGAGGCTGGGGCCAGCAACTGTGTTAGCACCAGCAGGCTTACCTGGGGTGCTGGAGGCCTCCAGTAGCTGGAGCGTGGCTTCAGCCAGCCGAATGCCAGTTTTGGGTGATGTACGCCTCTGCCACGTGTACCACCCTGCTTTATTTAACCATCGGATTTTTTTGAACCCAGGATCTCCTGGTGTCAAAAATTGCCTCCCCTGCCCCACCCCACAATTTAGCAGCATGGGGAACACCTGCACATGTGGCACCACACTTTCACATTCATCTGGATGCACCCTATGCGTTTAGGCTCATGAAAGCTTTAGCATCTCTGATTTAGTCAGTAAAGTGCATCTCTGCCACATGCCTTAATCCCTAAGATGACATCAAGGTGATGGAAAAGTTGAGAAAGAAAGATCTGGGTCTCTGAATGGCTTAATCTGAAAGCAGCAAAACAAAACTTGGAGCAAAATCAAGGATGGCAACTTGGAAAAAACTTCTACAAGCAAAAAAACTTTTGTGTTGTTGGCAGATGGAAAAGATGCAAGGCCTTGTATTTTTACATTTTTTATTTTAAAGTATTGGAATAACTTACTGTGCACCCTCACCAGTTTATAGGCTTTCATCTGGATGATTCAAAAATAGCTTGAGGGTTTATTTCTTGTCTAGCTACTGCCCATTTTATTGCAGTGAGCACGAGTCAGGGAATGAGTGATACTGATTTAGAGCACCCCAGCTTGCCTCCAGGGTTTTACTTTTCATGAAAACTTTGTAAAAGCTGGAGAAATGGAAATTTTGTGAATAAGACAACTGTGCAGCCAGATATCTAGACATATTTAATCTCCCAAACCACTGAAGGACATAGGGCCAGCAAATGTATATGAAGCATGGACCTCCTGCTTACCTCTGATTTTACCTGTTGTCCCCTGACTCCTGTGCAGGGCACTATCTTTAATCAAGAAGCTTGTTCTGATTTAAAATCTCTCTGGGCTGTCTGTGGCCTGCCATCTACCCAAAACTCACTTTTTTCTCTCTTGTTCTGCTTTTACCCTCATGAAGGGGCATGAAGGATTCACCCATTAAACACATGGTTGGGAATGAAAAGAAAGTTATTAGTGTTTCATTATTAGAATATGCTTAGGAGCACTATGCATGGACACAAAAATGTTTATCATATATGCTTGAACTTTAATGCCATGGCTACAACAGATAGACAGAAAACTCTATTCTCAGCATTCTTCACAAGTGCTGAAGTATTTACTGAACAAAAAAAGTAACACCATACAGATACTGGGCCAGTAGAGCTGATCAAATGTTCAGCTCAGTAGAAATATTTTAAATGTAACTCCTAAAATGACAGTCCTCCAAGATTAGTTTTATTAGCATTTGATTGACCTATCCATCACTTTTCCAATGATGTTCAGAGGAAGTTTTTGTTTCTTACTGGAGTCATCAAGGTTAATGTGTCCAGCCAATAGTTTATATATAATCATCCATGGATGATTAGTGCAAGATTAGTGCTGCTTTTCATTGAACTCTGCACAAAGTACCATGACCCTTTCATGCAGTACTACAGGTATGAGGGTGCATGTGAACAGTCTGGGATGTCTCACAGAAGGGAAAGTCTAACTGTAAAAGCTCATTTTCAAAGTTGTGCTAGTTTTGCTTTGTTCTTAAGCAGCAGAGCTGACTAGCTCCACTTCAGATGAAGCCACATCTACCATAGAAAGAGCAAGTTCAAACTGCACCATATTAATTATTGGCAAGAAACCTCTACAGGGGTGTTTCTGCAAAGACTATATAGTAATTTACAGAATATTAATTCTGGGATAAATAAAATCTTTGTTAGCAGCTGCATTAGATATATAGTTGATTGGGATTTTTGTTTCTTAACTTGAGTGATTTTTCTAGTATTCTCGTATTTTTGATATTTTTACAATGGGTCAGATCTTTCTTTTTCTTTTTCTACTCTTCCTGAAGTTTCGTTCTGTTGGTATTACTTTCCTCCCTGTTTTCTTCTGCTTGTAACATGCATACCTCTATTTCTTTGTTGCTAAGAAAACTTCCATCCTCATTTTTCTTTACTGTTTTGTTGCTACTTATTTCTAAGTGATGCCTACTATCAAAGTGAAGGACAAATTGAAGTTTGCAAGTTCTTTTGCAATAGAACACAGTAAAATATAGTGTAAATCCTCAGTGATATATGCTATATTAGGAAAGTATACAGCAGAAGACTGGATGAATCATTGTTCATGTTAATCTTCTTAATAAAGGATTTTGGCCTTAAACTGAACAAAAGTTTCATGAGTGCAATTCATCTGGTCTGTCTAGCCACGATGTCCAAGATACACCCATCTTTGTCTATACGAGCTGCTAGCAAGGCCTCATAGTTGGAGGGAAGCAGAGCTACATGATTTCCTACAGTACAATAATCACTGGGCTTTCAGATTTCATCTGCTTATAACATTTTCATGTATATTGTCCTTGGATTCAGTCAGGTCTCTAGCAATGCCTATTACTATATTTTCCTGAAGCTGGTTTTATGAATTTGAGTATTGGTGGAATAAAAGCCCACTTTTTGGTTGCTGAAACACAGCAGGTCCTTATGAAGCATTTTATAAAATGGAACCTTCTGTAATCCATAAAGAGATGGTAAAATGTTTTCATTCCCAAAGTTAGAGCAGACAAGAAAATGTAGCTCAATTGTAAGTTACTGCAGACCAACATTGAGCATTGTAAAAGATAAACTGGGTGTAACATGGGAGGGAGGATGGTTAAGATTGTGCATCCCCTGAAGACATGGGCGGATCTAGGATTTTGAAAAGGGGGATGTAGATGGTGTGATGCATCATTATGTGTAACACAATAAACAATTTTCTCCAGTTAGAAGGAAACTAGAAGCTTTACTAATAAACAGGGGCCTAGAGCTATATAATTCAATTTAAGATTGAAGAAAAAATTGGAATGTGCATTAATTTGTTACATATGTTATATATAAAAACACAACAACCTAGGCAAGAATAATCAAAATATGTTGTTTTATTAGTTCTGTAGTCATTTAACTGTACATTTCTGTAGTCAGTTAACTGTACATCTTTTTCACATTCCATAAAACAAAATCAAGCCTTCTTAAGCATCTTGACAGTGCCTCCAATGCTTCACTGAAAGTGATTTTCCACACCTGAGCTAATGTTCACCTGAGCTAATATTTCTACATCTGAGTTCATTTTTTAGCTAGAGTTAAAAAAAATAAAAATAAAAAAAAATAGAAGTCTGTAGGGCTGTGAAATAGAAGCTACAGTACTAGGAGCAGGTAACATATAACAGCATTGCAGATGTAAGGATAGCTATAGTAGTGGAACCATTAAAGACAACCTAAAAGGAAAGGGGGTCATTCACACTTGTAGAATGAAGAATTTAGAAGGAATCCAGCAAATGATAATGATCCATGAACTCAATTGACTCCTTTGCTGCTGCCTAAATAGAAATGTGGCTGCCACTGCTTTGCAGTTGGCTTTAAACTTTGGATGAAGCAGGAACCAAAGGTGTGGTGCAAGTGCATTAGTGCACCCCCCGCCCCTCGCACCTCCCAGGTCTGCTCCTGCCTGAAGAAGATGGAAGTACTTATCAGTAGTCTTTTCAGTCATCTTTACAAGTCACTCTGTGGGAGACAAAAGAAAAATTACCCTGTGAAATTCAAGAGGTATGGTAAATATTCCGTTTAGCTTCCATTATTGAATTGGAATGTACCAACTGGGCTTAAAAACATGTCTTTTTTTCTTTTGTCCAAACAGTTCCTCCACACAGGCAGCAAGTGGATGACACATAGGCTAGGGACAGAAGTGACACATAAACTGGTTTAAGTGATCAGAAACTGG